ATGAAGAAATCTTGATGTTAAGATCGATCATGGATGTCAATCTACCCAAGGTTGGTTTTGCGCTGAGTTAACTCGCGACTAATGAGAACTAGAATTTAACGAGTTTTTAAAAATCACTAATCACAATATGCAACATTGTTAGRCAACTCCAGCCTAGTCCCCAGGCGTTCTTCGGCTTTAGTCTTACATGACGTCGCAGACCAATCTCGTACCCAGAGCCCGCACTTTCGCCATCCAGCGGATGTCAATGCGTGAGAGACTCTGGAGGAATGCGTTATTTCTCGATTCGTGATTGGCTGAAAATGACGCGAGCGCGCATTGTTTTCAAGTCGGTTTTTCAAGTCGCCAGCGCGCGCTCGCCTTGTTAGTCAAGAAAATCATACTTTTATCGCATAACCACACATGTTTTCACACATTTTTGTTTTTAAAAAGGTGTAAATACCTTGACTAAGTTGTGTGCTAAACCTCCTTCTTTTTTATCATTTTGATGCTCTAAAGCGGCAAAAACAAAATTGACCTAATTTGCATAATTTGCGACGGAAAAGCGTCGCAAATCCAGTCGATTCCTCCAGAGTCTTTCCGGCGTCAGCATACCGCTGACATTAGCCGAGAAGACTCTGGGCTCGAGATTGGTCACAGACTGTCTCGCAGGAACGGCTTTCTCTGCCGCTCASCTGCTCGTTCCAGTACCCGCACGCGCTTGCATGGAATGCCTGGGTACTAGGATTGGGCAACCCATTGTTTGATGGTTGGATGGGCTTTAATGTTAAACATTTTATCAAAGTCTTCCGGCTTTGGACTTCATTCATGAAATTGTCAATTACGAATGGATTTTTAAGTGTACCAGAAGTCCATAACTATTTTTAGTCACATCACTGTACTCATCTGTTTTCGTCTTCAGTTCCTTTCCCAAGATTTGCCGCTATTCGAAGGCATTGTATCAGATCTTTTCCCTGGCGTGACATTACCAAACCCAGATCACGGTATTCTAGAAGACGCGATCATCACGTCTATTAAGTCATTTAAACTCCAACCAGTACCTTGGTTTATAGAGAAAGTTATCCAGGTAAATCACGCTTCATGATAAAAATTATTAACTTAAGAACAACTAGCGCAATGGCCGCACCCTTTCTTGGGGGAAAGTTTCATCTGGTGGTCAAAAAAATGGGGGTCAAAACTGAGTTCTATATCCAAAGAAAGCTCTCCAAGATGAAACTGCATCGCTTGCCTTGAGGTGATGATCTGTTGTGAAAACAGCTCCCGCTTCCTGAATAACAGTTTATATTTGTTGTATAGATATTTATTATATATTTTTTGTTCTTTGTGCTAGTAGATATAGCGTATGTGATGAGTAGATATAGTGTATGT